CATGGTTGACTTGCACGGTAAGATGGTAAGATCACAACCGCCCCACTGCACATTAAGCCCTGCATAAGCAAAGGAAAGGAAAGAAAAAGGAGGCTGCTTCGGGTGTTCATTAGCCAATGACTTAAATCCCTGAATCAAAGTTACTGGTTATGTAAATCCAGTATGACACAAGTCTTTCCCTGAACCCCTTCATTCTGTGACGTACCATCAACACCATCTGCAGTTTCGCTTTCTTCTTCTTCTTCTTCTAGCATTTCAAAAGGAGTCATTATATCATAGAGAAATGAGAGGAAACCATAAAACCAATCTGAACTTTCCTCGGCTAAAATATTAAGGACTTCCTCAAGAGAATCAATATTTTCATTACTGCCATCTTTGGTCAGGCCTACATAAGAATAAAGGAAGAGAGAGAGAAAATAAGGAGAGCAGTTAGGTGGCAAAAAGAAGTGCAGGAAGGGCGATCTCAAAAACGATGTGCATCATGGTCAGAGAGGTTTACAGAAATGATATTTGGAAAATAAAGAAGTCTATCAAAAAGCACAACTTACAATCAACTCTCAATCAAATGTCAAAAGAAAGCCACAGTTTGAACAATCCTCACCACTCCTACCAGCCCCTACCCAAGTTTGCCTTTCTCTCATTAGTGCTGAGTTGAAAGAAAAAATTTTATCCATCAAAATCAATAGACAATAATGGAAAATCAGTAGACAGTAAAAGGAAGAGTGAATAAAAGCAGTATTAGGGAAGAAAAGATATATACTCTTGACAACCTCCAGATTTGCTCATTTACCAATCAGATTTTATCGAGAGTTGATTATATACACATTCATTCATTCATTCAAACTACAAACTTCTCCCCCCACCACCACCCCACTTAAGAACTGGAGTTAACTTAGGAAATTTTGGAGTTAATGTAATTAGCAGCATTACCATTTATAACATCCACAGATGGGCATATATTCAAATTATGTATCTCAGATAGTTTTAACACCATTAAATGTGGTAGCTCTGTACAATTCTGGCAACTGACTCGCAGTTCTGTAATTCTGGTCAACGACAAGAGTCAGCTGTTAATAATAGTTTGCCTACAGACATGAAATTTGATCAAGGCCTTAGCTGGTCACTTGCAATGAGAACATTCCAAACTCCTCTCCCCATGAGCTTGTGAAATTAGCTTCTATTGCTAAGACCCCTTACAACTGTCATTTTAAAGTACTGGACCCAAAGTATTGGACCCAAACAGACCCTTAGGACAGAAATAAATCAAAGTATATATTGTTTTTATCGTTTGCTTTTTCCTGTGAAAAACTGCCTCTAGGTAGCAAAGGTTTCTTAGCTCCAGTAGGCATCAGAATCTACCAATACTACCAAGCTTCATATGGCAAGACCCCTAATTCTGAGGACGAATCACAGGGTAGGGTGTTCTGGCAGTAAGAAATGTTAACATCCGTGACCACCAAGCTTTTCTGGTTGAACCCACCTAATTCAGTCATTTAAGTCTTCGGTAACACACAATTTCTCCATGTAGTATAACTACAAGCAATCAAGTTTGGCAGATGAAGGATAAGGCAACAACTAATTTATAAAAGTTTTAAAGGTTATGGTGAAATTTCTCTGCTTTACTCAAAAGAACTATATTATGCCACTCTTTATGATTTTGGTAGGAATAAAACACAAATTGCAGTTGGTATTTGAATTACTTTTTGACAAGCCTAGAATTTTTTTTTCACTGAATTTAGCAGTTGACAAATGCTGTGAACAGAGATCTATATTCACAACTAAGTTTCTGTGGGAATAACACTGTTTCTTCTTTCTGTCTTAAAACACTATAGCTGCATGGTATAAACATCTTTATTTTTCTCCATTTGCCAATATATTACAAGTACTTCTGAGTATTGCATATAAAATATAAAACTTTTTCATCCTTCAGTATGACAGGTGACCATGTGCAACAAATACACAAAAGCATTTGAACAAAACTGTTTATCCAGCCAAGCAAGATTCCTGTGGTTCTGAAGACAAAAGTCCTGGTCTAAAGAGAAAAAAAAAAATTCTGGGTATGTGATTCCTTCTGAACCTCTAAGAACAGGGCTCAACCAAAGAGGATGTCTTTGGCTTCGAAAGGGCTGGTATCCTCCCATCTGCTCACTCATGCATCTACCAGTCTACAAATGTTCTTCCAGGATATAGCAAGTGCTGACTGACTTCCCTTTTGCTTTCCAGTCATACCTGACACAATACCGGCTAGGTGCTAGCCACAGGACAAAGGGCAACCATGTGATCTTTAGGTGGTATCACTTTAAGGATTTAGCATCCAAGTCATTTTCCTGTTGATTTTATTTGGAAAATAGGCTTTTAAAGACTAAATTTCCAAACAAGACAGTGTTCAATAATATGAACGACTACAAAAGATACCTATATTTTAATTTGGCCACAAAAATAAGAAGCTGTGTAAATGAATAACAATGGGCCTAGTACATTTTCAAAGAATCAGAAGGGCCTTGGCCAGAAATAATCAAATAATAAAATTAATGATGGTTATTGATCTTGATTTACACACATATATTTAATTCTATTTCACAAGAAAAGCCAAACCTTAAAATTGAGTGAAATGTACCATGTGAACATGTACATTTCCTCAACTTTTTAAGATTTAGATATATGTAGATTTAAGAATCTAAAAAGAAATATTTATGAAATAAATGTGAAATCTACTAAACTTTAACATATCTCAACTATTACTATACCTGTGATGCCAAGCACTCTTCTCACCTCTGACCTTCTACCTCCTCCCTCCCCTTGGATCTCCTTGGCCTTAATCTAAAACCTAAACCCTTAAAGTGTAAACTTTACCATTAAGCTGCCTCTCCAGTGAGAATGTACCCTGGAAGTCTGGCTTCATTTTTGGTATACACTCACTGTAGCACTCCCACCATAACCCCTACCTAACCATACAGAACCCACTGAAGCCTCTGTTCCCCCAACAATTTCACCAGTCTGTCTTTGCAGTAACCTTCCAGTAAGAGAGGCACCTCTAAGCTACCATAATCTCACAAACCAGAAAAAAAAAAAAAAAGAACTTTAGTCATAAAACTCAATTCAAGTTAAGGTTGCATTTCATGTGGAGAACTCAAAACACCATAGAAATAAGGTAAGAGGTGATAAGTAAGCCTAGCATTTCACCTTTGGTGTGTTTCATCTGTACTAAAGCCATAAGTCAACTGCAAATTAGTACGAGAAAAGTAAAAAAGTATTTATGTAGTTTTATCTGATCTGTCTTTATGCATTTATTAGTAAAGTTACCAAAATAAACCTTGATATTCACCAAATTTAGTTCCACCAAGTGTACAATTCTTATAAATGGCACAATTTATGAGTTCCTCACACTATACCTGCAAACAGCAATATTCAAAGTTACAATTAATAAACATCTTAATAAGCTAAAAACCTTAAAGGGAATGACCTTTTAAAATCTCAAATACACTAAAAATCAAGTTACTAAGGTAATAGTTTGCTATAGAAATCAGAGTATTTTATCAAAGAAATACCACATTTTAATTTTTAATGGTTGACATTTCCTGACAGACCAGATAGCTAGTTTTAAGCAAAAAACAAACAAATAAAAATCAGCAAAATACAGTAGATGAGGAAGTAGTATTATTTTTGACAATGAGGGAACTTAGCCCACATTTTATTTTATCTTTAAAATAAAAAGTTTTGCTATTCAGAATTTGTCATTTAAAGTAATATAATGAACTAATAAACCATTTATAGGCAACCAAATTGACATCATTCTGACAAGTTCTATGTAATTTTGTTTCTTTTACATGCCCAGGATTATAGTCATCTGAAGATTAAATATATTTACAGAAAGTCAAATTTAGATACAGAATAACAGAACTACATTGAAAATTTCATTAAGGTTAAGATAGGAAAAGAAATTTCACAGTAAGTTTCCAGTAGTAAGCAGCAGATACTAATTCCCAATGGACGGTAAGAGAAAAAAAAAAACTAACGTAAGTCAAAATTAGGAAGGTTTATTACCCTTAACCACAACTAAAACTCTATTTTCATATTTAAAACTTTTTTATTTCATAAGGAGGTGAAATTAATCTACTAAAAGCAGTTTCACTGGGTTATAGATGTGGCATCCTGTCATATTTTCATGTCTAAAAAATATACACAATGCAATGTAATTAAGAAGAATTTCTTTGGTTCATTCTTTTATAAGCTTAATGTATAATATCATGCCATATCCATTATTTTTCTAAAGACTCTGATATAAAAAGTTTTAACATGAATTATGCTCAATACAAAAGCAAAGGAAGTCTCACCAGGCCAGATTATATAAAATTTGCATATTAAAATTAACATCATTCTTTCCAACAAGACAGCATTTTAAAACAAATGAGGGAATACCACATTGTTATTTATGACAAGAAACATCTCTGATAAAGACAGTAGAAAGAGAAGGTTCCAATACTTCCAAAATAAAGACACTGGGTCAAAAGACCAGAAGTTCGTATTTTAATGCTACTATTAAAATATGCATGGGACATTTTAAGATGTTTACTATCACTTTTGTTTCAAAATTAATTTACATAAGACTGCAAAAATTTACATTTTGAAATATAAGTGAATGTCTAATGTCAATGAAGAATGGCTATAATTACCATATCTGAAAACAGACTAGGATATTATCTATTCCAATTCTAAGTTCAGAGTAAGAAGTATTTTAAAGTTGAAAACACACATGACATTATTATACTTATCAAAAGATATATACGTAAGAGATATACACTTATTCATTAATAAAAGTAAATTGAAATGTAAGAGTCTATGGAAAAATAAGCCATTTAAATTTTAACAGTAATGAAATATATTATTAGAGGGGGAAATATCTTCTGTAAGATATATACTATTGAGATAGATATTATTAAATCAAAAATATTTGTTTCTAGCATTTTATCACTAACAAAAAACATAAAATGTGTACTTGCCTAATAAAACTTTGGCATCATCCACATCAAAATCTCCATCACCATCAGCATCATAGACTCCTAGTTTTCCTACAATAGAAGAGAAATGATGGATATGGGAACAAAAGAGAAAACAAATTTAATAAGGTATTACCACTTAGTGAAGTCCTATAACTCAGTCATAAATGTTACCAATTAATGCAATTCTTTCCTCTTTTAATCCTGCAAAGCAGTGTCAAATTAATGTATTACTTCAAAATAGTAAGCAATTCAGGTAGTCAGGAAATGTTCAACTAACAGATTCTAAGAAATAAAACCGACAGCATTTTCTTTAAAGATTGAACAACATCCTGATCTAATTACTTGAGAACAATGTTTATTATACTGCTAAAAATATTTTTCGTGAAGTTTTTAGCATATATGAAACAATACTGATTTATTCCTAAGTTACTTGAAATTTAATGTTTCTAAAGCATGAAATTTCATCACACTATCAATATCTGAACCAAAAGAAACAAATAATCCAGACTCAAATAGAGACTAAATATAAACAGATTAACACAGAATCTAAGTACTAACAATTTAAAAATCATTGTTTATATTTTACAATCATGATTTATAACAGAAATATCATAAATTAACCTTTAAAAATAAAAGACCATTATGAAAATAAAGCATATAAAACAGGAGCCTTCCTGGAATTATAAAAGAAAACTTATGATTATTCGACTTGACTTAATTAGCACTGGCCATCTATACTATAAGAAAAAAAGGCTTCAAACAGTTATGCTGAGAAGACAATATTACCAAAGCCTTTCCTCTTCAAGAACAGAAAATGCTCTTAGGGTTAATTAGCACTGACCGTCTATGCTATAAGTAAAAAGGGCTTAAAACAGAGATACTGAGAAGACAATACTACCAAACCCTTTCCTCTTCAAGAACAGAAAATGCTTTTAGGCTTTAATCGTTTCTCATAAGAAACACTGTTATTTTGTTTAGCATTTCAAAAAGTCAAATACATTCAACTTCCTAAAAAAGCATCCTAAATTCCACGATTTTAATTCATTACTGGACAATGACTGTGGAGAAACATAATCATGTTAATGTACAGCAATATTTTAAACAGGATTCACAATGCTCTAAACAGGATTTAGAGCATTAGCACTAAAAACAAAAAGAAAAATAGAAAAACAGTTGGCAGCATTCTTATCATTTCTTTAACACAAAGTGCATTAAAAGATTACAGAAGAGCAGGCAGAAATTCTGGCTCAGAGTAGCTCTGATCAATCTCATCTCCCCAGAGCCCTTGCTCTACTTAGGAAAATGGTTAACTTGCTATATGGAAGTCTGACTTAGCAAACACATACACATTTAAAATGATAATGATGAAGGAAGAGATAAGAATGTTATTTCAACTGTTAAGAACACAAAAAGTACTAATCAAGGCTGCAGAAGACAGAATTCAAGAAACAGTAAAAGAAAATACTATCCTTCCTGACAAACCTATAATGGGAAATTGGTCCTATCACTTACATTCTGATGTAGGTAATAACTAGATTAGTAGAAAAAGAATGAGGTATTAGAGACTAACAGACGTAGACTTGAAATGTATCTCCAATCGCCTACCTTGAAGCACCTCTGATAAGTTATAACGGAAGTCCTTTGCTTTGGCTGCATGCATGTAAAAACATGAAAATTGTTATTTGTGCTTAAACGTAGGAATATTTTAAGTCTCCTCTTTAAAGATATGTTCCCTAACAACCTAAGTCAGTAAGCATAAATCTACTCAGAAATTTGTCTCCAAACTAAAATCCTCCCCATGTTGGTCTGTCAATCTATCCAGAGACACTTTCCTTAAAGTAATGAAAATGAAACATTTCATTAAAAAACAGATTACAGACAAGCATATTTGGTTATTCTTTGCCCTTTCTCCCCAAAAAGCTGTCTATAATCTGACAAGTAAAGCAGAAGCACAGGAAGTCCAAGGGAAGGGGAGATCATTCATGCAACATTGTACATACAGACAAGTGTGCATTTTTTTCCAGTGACAGGTTCACATCTTTAATTGGATTACTAAAGAGAAGGGCCATTATTCACAATAGCCAAGAAGTGGAAACAACCCAAATGTCCATCATTGATAACAGGCAAAATGTGGTGTGTCCATATGATGAAATACTATGCAGCCATAAAAAAGATAGGCAAAGGCTGGGCGGGGTGGCTCAAGCCTGTAATCCCAGCACTTTGGGAGGCCGAGGCGGGTGGATCACGAGGTCAAGATATCGAGACCATCCTGGTCAACATGGTGAAACCCTGTCTCTACTAAAAATACAAAAAATTAGATGGGCACGGTGACGCGTGCCTGTAATCCCAGCTACTCAGGAGGTTGAGGCAGGAGAATTGCCTGAACCCCAGGAGGCAGAGGTTGCGGTGAGCCAAGATCACGCCATTGCACTCCAGCCTGGGTAACAAGAGCGAAACTCCGTCTCAAAAAAAAAAAGATAGGCAAAATGTGGTGTGTCCATATGAATAAATATTATGCAGCCTTAAAATGAAGTACTGAATCTTAGAAACATCATGTTAAGTGCAAAAAGGCAGGTACAAAAGACCATATAGTGTATGGTTCCATTATGTGAAATGTCCAGAACCTAGAAAACCACAGATACAGAAAGTAGGTTAGTATTTGCCATGAGAGGGAAAGAGGAGGAGATAGGGTATTTAAGGGAAAGTGGGTAACAAAAATAATCTGGAAGTAAACAATGCTGATGGGTACATAAAATGATGAATATAGTGAAAGAAAACTGAATTGTAATATTAAATTTTATTTCAGTTTTAAAAAGAATTTTTGGGGAAGTGAAAGAGAATGTGACTCCAAAAGCAACAAAGAAACATTAATGTAAAAAATATTGAAAAACTGCAGTGATTATCAGAGAGAAAAGGAAAAAGGATAAAGGTCACTATCAGAAGAACCACAGCAACTTTCTCAGAATGGCATACAGATCACACCTATACACAGACAAACATATCTACAAACGCCTATCTTAGCACACCCATCCAGCACCTGTATGCATGCACAAACTCACTCCATCCCAACAGACACACAGAAGGGTGTGCTTTGAAAACCCTCTCTAATGAAGGGTTTTGCATATTGTCTGGTTTTGATTCATTAGTGGGTCCTTAAATAAATGTAGTGGCTCGTGATCAAGTATTTAAAAATTTATAATAAAATAGAATAGAAACCAGAAGATACTGCATATGGTGAGAAGGAGTACTGTTTGGTAACACTTCTCTCTGTATGATAAACATACGATAAGAAGACTTTTTTAAAAAAAAAAAGCTACAGGTCATTTTCAAAGAAGTTCAAAAGACAGTACTCCAAGGTAACCCTCTTCATATCCCTTTTCAGCCTCACTCTATTGAGAACCCCTGAAAGGCTACAGAAATTGCCAGTACCAAAAAGAAAGTAAAAAATATTCAAGATTCCTAAGAGATGTCACTTACTCCCTTACAAATTCACATAAGATATCGAAATTCTTACCTAGAACTTCTTCATAGTCAACAAGATCAAACCAAACCACAGCTACAGATGTCCAGACACCCAGCAAGGCAATCACCATAAACCACGTGAAGAATGAAGTTCCAGAGAGTCCTCCTTTCCTCCCATTCTTGTGTCCTCCGTGCTTTGTCTCTGTTTAGAAATACATGTAAGACGGTATAAGAAGAAAATACTTTACTGAACACCTCTTCTCACAATTACTTCTCCAGAAATTTGAGAGTATATACAATGATAGACCATTTCCAAAAATAGTTTTCAGTTAAATTCTCAAAACATGTCACACAAAATATTTTTGAAAACAGAAAAGATTCTGTTTAGATGCAACACTAACTTTGAAGTAGTGTGTGAAATAAACTACTAATTTTTTTTAAAACAAAGACTTAGTATAAAATGTACATTCCACCTAAGTCACTTATCAAAATGACCTGAATATTACTCTTTTAAAGGCAGAGTGCATCAATAACTTAATGAAATCACATAAGAATGTGGCCACATCCTTTTCTCTGTCCATTTCATGTCTGCAGAATTTTAAAAGCTCTGTTAACTACCACAGAAGGAAGTATCTCCCATCAAACCATTTCATATTCTTAGCCAGATAGAGAAGGACAGAGAAGTGAAATAGCACAGTCCATTCCTACTCCTTTACAAGATCCACTGAGGCCTAAGGAAACAGGAAAAGGCTCATTCACAACTGGTCTCACTGCAGGAAACAGCTTTGTAAACTGCTGTCCACCAGAAGCATCATTTATCACATCTGATGTGATTAATATACCTTATATTCTTTTGTATTCTTCTTACAGTCAAAAATAACAAAAATCATTTGATATTAACAGATAATAATCAACACTGTCCTTATGAACCACAATATTTAAATTTCCCATAAAAAGGAATCTAATACATATTATATCAATATTAATAAATAAAACGGATAAATCATATCCCAAAATGCCTTCTGACAAGAGGAAAAGTTTATGAAACAGAAGATGGAAGGGCAGGGCAGAGTCCTTTTTGTGCGGCAGGTGGAGTCACCATAAAAGTGCCTTCATGTGCACTGCTGCCGGTGATCTTCACCATGTCCTGCCACTGTTTCTACAGAGGGCATTTCTGGATGTTTATGCAGGTCAATGTTTCATTCTGTGCACCTGTTCATCACATTGCAGGATTTCTGGCATCCCTGGTTTCCCCTGGACCTAAAGACAAGGAGCTCCCAAGGGTTATGACAAGCAACCCACCCCCAAACATTTCCACATGTTCCCTGCAGGGGCAGTTCCAGGTTGAAAACCAATAAGGATAAAGACAGGAATAATTATCTGTTTTATCAAAGAAAAATGAAATGATTCACCCAAAGTCACCAGTACAAATTGGGCAGAACTAGGAACATACTCTCATCTCTATAGCTCTGAGTTCCTCAATCTCTAATCAGTGGGCTAAATTACATGATTTTTAAAAAAACCCACTAGCTCTAATCTAGAACTTGCCCTTTGACTTCTAAGTCCAGTTCTAATTACAGAATACTACTAGTAATTTGTGGTGGCTCAAGTCAAGAATATATAGCCAATATATTCTTCTGGAAGAAAAAATGAAATTCTTCTTGTTAAAAGGCTATAAACATTTTTTCAAAATATACCATTAGATCAGTTTTTCAAAGGGGGCCATTAAAAATCAAATCCATCTGTGTATATGTACACTCAAACATACACATATATTGATCTATATGCCTACATCAAATTATATAAAGTTCTGATTACTAATGAACAGAATTTTTTTTGAGATATAGTCTCCCTTTGTCACCCAGGCTGGAGTGCACTGGCATGATCTCGGCTCACTGCAACCTCCGCCTCCCAGGTTCAAGCAATTCTCCTGCCTCAGCCTCCCGAGTAACTGGGATTACAGACACCTGCCACCACGCCTCTAATTTTTGTATTTTTAGTAGAGACAGGGTTTCACCATGTGGGCCAGGCTGGTCTTGAACTCTTGACCTCAAGTGATCCGCCCGCCTCCACTTCTCCAAGTGCTGGGTCATTCTTAAAAAGTCAAGTAGAATTTCTATTTCTAAGGCCTTGAGGAATCGCCACACTGTCTTCCACAATGGTTGAACTAATTTACACTCCCACCAACAGTGTCAAAGTGTTCCTTTTTCTCCATCCACATCCTCTCCAGCATCTGTTGTCTCCAGATTTTTTAATGATCGCCATTATATATCCAAAAGACTATAAATCGTTCTACTATAAGGACACATGTACACGAATGTTCATTGAAGCACTGTTTACAATAGCAAAGACCTGGAATCAACCAAAATGCCCATTGATAATAGACTGGATTGGAAAAATGTGGCACATATACACCATGGAATATTATGCAGCAATCAGAAATGATGAGTTTGTGTCGTTTGTAGGGACATGGATGAATCTGGAGAATGTCATCCTCAGCAAACTGACACAAGAACAGAAAATGAAACACCGCATATTCTCACTCATAGGCGGGTGATGAAAAATGAGAACACATGGACACAGAAAGGGGAGTACTAAACACTGGGGTCTACTGGGGGGAAAAGGGGAGGGCCAGTGGGAGGGGGAGGTGGGGAGGGATAGCCTGGGGAGAAATGCAAATGTGGGTGAAGGGGAGAAGGAAAGAAAAGCACACTGCCATGTGTGTTCCTACGCAACTGTCTTGCATGCTCTGCTCATGTACCCCAAAACCTAAAATCCAATAAAAAATTAAAAAAAAAAAGTAATTCCTTTTTCTGACATTCTTTAACTATTAATGGATCCATCAGAGCCAGTGTTCTAAATAATATGGTAAATTCATAAAAGTATGCTTACCAAATGACAGATGGCCTTCAACTTTGTTTCTAATGTGATCTATATAAAAGCTAGCTATATAAAAACGTAATTTATGTATTAAATAAAAATACTTGCTGGGCATAGATCCTGTTGTTGCACATTAAGTCAACTTCAAATAGGTACCATTACCTGAACACAGCCATGGCAGGGGGAGACTGGGTGAGAATGGCTGCTATGTTGGTAGAAGGAAATGGTGATTTTCAAAAATTTTATGTGTTGTAAGCATATAAAAAGAAAAATACAAACTAAACTACTACTAAAATTTCAAGAAAAAAAGATATATGAAAGTGAGTAAGCTTCTGCGAGGGCAGGAAGTGCCATATATTCAGTTAACAGTATTGTATCTCTAACTCACTATAGTCTTATGAACAGCAAGGCTAAACAAATATAGTTCATCTTTTCATTCATCCAACATTTTTATTCAGTATGTGAATACCAGATAATTGTACCCAATAATTAAGTTTTTAAAATGAGTATGTAGCCAACCAGATACCCAAGATGATACTATTTAAAATAAGCCTATGCTGCAGTGAGCTATGATTCTGCTACTATACTGCAGCCTGGGCAACAAAGCAAGACCCCCTCTTAAAAAAAATTTAAAAGTCTGTAATGAAATAGCTGATAAAATATAGTAATAAGTTGAATTCAAAGTTTGATCATTTCTCCATTTTCCATTTCTCTCTCTCTCAAAGGGAAACGGAGGAGGAAAATTTCTGAGATTCTGAAAAGGAAATTATCATTTATCCAAGTTAACTCAGTGATACTCATTTAAGTTATTGACTGCAACACCACATATACAGGGAAAAGTAGACAAAAGACTTTTTTTCTAAAAAACAAAATGAATACATGCACTGAAACAGCAAGGGATTGAGATGGGGAGGAGATAGCCAAACACAGTAAAAAACACACCTTTACCTAGAATTTGTTTACATTTTTATTTTAGATGTGATTCTAACAATTTCAGTTTCAATTAAGTTTTCTAGCTCATTATACAAAACTCTAGAATAGATTTTAGACACAATCTAACCAAAATGAGTGAAAGCAACAGAGTGCTGACAGAGGGAAAGCATATAAAATGCACAGATCTCTCAGCAAGAGCAGATCCAAGAACTCAGAAAAGCTGAGTGCTGGGAGACTTTCAGGCAGAATCCCTGAGAGTCCTTCAGATAATCTTCATTACAAGACAATAACTGGTTTCACATTGATTCTGCCATTAAAACATACAAGAAATGTATAATAAATCTTAGAAAATTTTTCATTCAAAATAGTTTTTAGTAAAGAGATTTATCACTTTAAAAGCTAAATGTTACTTAACTAGAATATATTATCAGCAATATTTTCTATATCCCTTTACAAATAATAAATTAGCTGTTACTCTAGTATTATTAACCTTATTACTGTTGATATTTACTAGTTCCATAAAGAAACAAAATACTAAATTATAGAAGGGATTCTTTCCTAAGACACCGTTTTTAGGGGCAGTTTTTATTGACACCAAACAGTATATTCTTGGTATGTCATTGGTAAATACGCTGTGCGTAGTCCCAAAGGGCAGATCAGTTTCTGTCCAACGAAACTGATGAATGCATGGTAAGACAAACCCATGGTAAGAGGGTTTACAACTCCCTAAGCAAATCTGAAACCAGTATCTGGTTCCAAAGGCATTTGGGAAGAACATCTAGTAGACTTCCCTATTTTCTAAGATCAGAATAACTCTAAGTCTTCATTTCATTTTCTGGCTCCATGTTCAACCTACAGTCCTGGGATCAGTGAAAAACAAATTTTTTTTTAAGAATACCACAAGAACTATGCAATTCATTTTTTTGCCACATTATTCCATCAAAAGTACATGACCTCCAAATCAGAAAATGTTCCCACACACCACCAAACACAGATATTACTACGGCAAGCAATAGTCCAAAATGAAGACTCCAAAAACAAAAGGAAGGGGAAGAGCAACGTGTAGTTTTATTTATTTGGTCGAGGAAAGGGAGACAAGAAGATGAACCCCAGCCCTTGAATGGTCATTAGCTACTTCACTGGCCAACTACTAACTGAATTATAGATCATTTATAAGTTTTAGTTAGCATTATATTGGGAATTTCATATTTACACATAAACTCAACACATTTAACTTTTTTGAAAAACATGAAAACTGTCAAGCGACTCATCAAAGTGATTTTTTCCATGCTATAAAACGTCACCTGTTGGGAATCAAGAACTTGAAACTGGGTCAGATGTAACAGCTAATTTTTCCTAACTACATAGATTACCTAATCCACAGAGGGCAGAAATGTCTTCCAAAACAACTAAAAGTCAGACACATATCTCATATTCTTCTTCATGGAGCACTTTATCAGACGAGTCAAGTAACCTATTCTAACCAATTATTTAAACAGCATTCACAGAGGAGATGCTCATATTCTACATCCTAATAGAAGAATCCTTTCATAATGAGTGAATGCAGTCTTTCAATTAATGGAAAGACTATCTTAATTTAAAGAGCGAAGCAAAAACAAATATATTCAAAACATTAAATTCAATACATCAGTAAAGAATACTTTAAGATTAAAGAGTCAATTTAAAAACAAAAAACTCCTGTGTTTTTTCTTTGCATTTATTATCTGCTTCATATTAAAGTAGGTCACTTTCCATAAATGGCAAGTCGTTGCTTGAACCAAGTAAGTCTGTTCATTAATATGAGACTGAATTTATATATCCTATCATTTTATATAAAATTTAAATATACATATTTCTTTAAATTTGTTGTAATTAATTTTTTAAAACTAAAGAAGAGAGCTTGTTCATTTTTTGAAATTTGTAAAATCCAGCCTCCAATAGTATGATGTAAGATCATCTAAATTAAGACACCAAAACATATTCTGATTAAAGACAGATTATTCCACGAAATATTCAGCTACTGTGAAAAGTCAGTATCTCAAAGTTCAAAATAGAAAACGTAGATGGTGCCGTCAAAGCACTTAGCTAAAAATATTTTAACACAGCACAACTGAAAATAAAGTGAAAAGTTGTCACAGCTAGATCTAGAGCCACTTTTAACCTAATAACAAAAATATACCTTTATCTTCAGCCATTTCGATTTCTTCAATCCATGAATAATAAATGCTAAAGTTAAAAAAAAAAAAAAAAACGCCAAACAACTCAAAAGTACTACTGACAGGTCTGAGGGACACTGCATGCACTTGCCTCCCAGAGCTTGAGACTGGCCAGCCCCTGCACAGCAGGGGACTCTACAACTGAAATTGGACCTGACTACAAACTCTGCTCACAAGTTATTTTTAGAGGCTAAATGCTGCTAATCACTTAGGCTGAAGAGCACTCCCTAACAACACGACAGCCTTTCTCCCACTTATGGGATTCCTTTCCCAGTTGGTGCTAGCTAACTTCAACCCCTAAAAAATCAAGCATGCCGAAAAAAATGAAAAGGAACAAACTGTGCTGCCAATTTTGTTTTCTTGGAAGCAGACTTTAATGGCTTTAGCTTAAGCACCGATTCATTCAAAACTCAAACAAGTCTTGCTATAAAATATGGCCCCAAGCCCAGAAGCAGCTTGATTTGGCCCTTCAGAAAAAAAAAAAAAAAAAAAGCTAAACAACTCAAAAGTACTACTGTACTGACAGGTCTTAGGCACACTGCAGCCATAAAATGGCTTCAAAGACAGACCAGTAGATTGTTTGAATGAAACAAAACCATAAATAGTAAGAAATTAATGCTCCAGAATTCTGGTTCATAGACACCATCCCAGGACTAATTCCTGCAACAGGAAAAATAAAGCAACAACACAAAATGTTTCGCTAGAAAAGGAGGGAGAGAAAAGTGGTGAGAGGGAAAGAAATAGAAGGAAGGCTGGAAGGTGAGGAGAGGGAGAGAAAGAAATCTTGAGGAGTAAGAATAACGACCTGGGAAAGATCATCTTGAAAGGGAACTAGGAAAAGATTACACAACCACATTCTGATTTTTTTTTTTTTTTTTTTTTTGACTTCTCCCCAACCTCATCTCCAAATATTCTCTTCTGGGAAAAAATCAGCCATTAATTCACTGATCTAACATTACCAGTTCACAGAATTCATTAGAGTTCTGATTAGTACACTAAATTAATTTAGCATAAATAGTATCTAGAGCAAGACAGCAACCTTTCTAAGTTGTTTATAAGACTAATTTTTTCATCCAAATTTAAGGCTTCACAAACAAATTAAACATTTAAATGCTCTGAATACTATTAGTAATTTCCAGTGGCTCAAGTCAAGAACATACTGCCAATATATTCTTCTGGAAGAAAAAAGAAAATTCTTGTTAAAAAGATATACACGTTTTTAAAAAATACACCACTAGATCAATTTTTTAAAAGGGGCCATAAAAACTAAATCCATCTGAGCATGTGTGTGTACATTCAAACATACATATTCAAAGGTAAATGTTACTTAACTAGAATATTAAATTACTAGCAATATTTTATCTATCCCTTTATAATATCATATATATGAGGTGTTACTCTAGCATTATTAATCTTATTACTATTGATATTTACTGTTCCATGAATGAGTAAAACAGTAAATTATAAAAGAGATTCTTTCCTAAGATGCCTTTTTTAGGAGCAGTTTTTTATCAACAGCATACAATATACTCTTGATATGTAATTTTGTAAATATGGTGTACCTGGTCCCAAAGGGCAGATTAGTTTCTGTCCAGCAAAACTGATGAATGCATGGTAAGATAAACCCTTAACAGGTTGGTACCATCGTCTGCAACCTATGGTGCCAACATTTGATGGCCCAGGTTTAGGACAGAGTTTAGCAGGTAGACATCAAGGCAAACTAAACAAAATTGTCTCAGGTGCCCTCTGGCCAAGCATTATTTCCTCATTCTTTTCTCCAAAGATCTGTCCCACTAAACTTAGTTCTTGCTAAATTGTTAAATGACAATGAATTACTCGTTGACAGGGGATAAAGTGACCCACTATTTCGTCACCACACAAATTAATAAGACAAATATCCTGGAAGCTTTCTTTCATTGTGTTGTTTTTGGAAAGAGAATGACAGCAACATGACGCCCCTATGGATGAGACCACTAGAAACCAAGTCCCCGGCACTGATACACAGGCAGCTTGGTATGCTTTCATTCTTAGACACCTGGATTTGTTTCATGGCTTCTCCATTAAATTTGATTTGGGGGAAGTCATCAAACTTCTGGCCTCAATTTCCTTGCTTATAAAACGGGTCTTCACACAAATGAGTTATGCAAATATTTGCTAGAGTTATCAGTGAAAGAAATTTTTATCAATTCGATCATGACTAGTGCACAAATATCCGTACTCCCAATTTAGAGCTCTTTTCATAATCCCATCTGTCCCTGCAACTGCTGGAGCTGCAAAGGTTTCTTCTCCTTTCTTTCCTGGCCTGTGTGAGGTCAGCTGCACTCCAAATTACAGAATGTCTATGGCCAAATGTCGAACTGTAAGAATCGCAGCTATTAAAATGTGGTGACATCTCACCCTGAGACTTCTTCAACACAGCTCCAATTATTCCCCAGTGACAAATCTTTATCCAGCTCTTTTACAAGTCCTGTAGTTACCCTTCTTTGGTCTTTTGCAGTAATTGAATAGTTATTTTGATAAAATGTCTTTCCTCCTAGTTCACAATGACGATGACATCCCTGTTATTTTAGATAGGGAGATCAGGAGAAAACACCCTGAAATATCATTTAATCTATCATAACACTTTTTAAAGAACAATAAATTCTGAATTCTAAGCAACTACCTCTTATAATGACAGTTCATTTTTATGATTAAAAAATGTTTATGAAAAGATTAAAAATAAACTTAATTTGCAAATAGTAAATCATGTTTTTAAGACCTTAACAAACACAACTAAAATGATACTAAGTTAACTATTCCTTGTAATAGCTATTGGTACTAATAGCAACTCCAAGTCTAATCAAAGACCAAACGTGTTTTGAGAGCATTAATATCAGCCTGATGCCACTCGCAATCAGGGGAGCCAGGACCTATGTCCACTGAGTCGAGGGTTCTACCTCTCTCCAAAAACCTCCTTTGACTGATGAGTCCTTCTTGCTCCTCTATCAGTTCACTCACTGCATGGACTGCCACAACTGCCTTCCTGGGTGAACACAAGTATCCACCGCCATGGAGGCAAGGGCAGCTGGGCTCACAGAATCAATATTGGGAACTGATCACAGCAGATCCAGCTTTATCTGGGACTCAGTGCTGCCTGCAACCCTCCCAATTCTCTACAAACTCATCTCGCCGTACTTTATGATGACTATATAAACTTCTCTGGCCCCAAGTATCCTACCTCTTCATACTCAAAAACTGCCATATCCTCATACTTCACAGAGAAAACAGAACCCTCAGCAGGAAGCCATCCTGAGTGCCCACTGCCCAGCACACAAACCTGTCCTTGCTTGCATCCATTCTGAGTTCCTCCTCAGCTACCTTGTACTCTGCACTGTCTCTTCACACTCCTCCTCCCCCAGCCTTGCTGCCTTTGCCAGGTCTCCCTCCAGCCTGCCGCTAGCCTCTATGCCATCTTGCTCTTCCCATCACAGAGAAAATTCTCCACAGAGATGCTGTTCCTGTTTTCATTTTCTAACCTCCCACTCACTCCTTACAACCTGTAGGCTTCCATCTGGCTTCTGCAGACAGTTCCCGCATAGTGGCTCTAATGTCACATTAATGATTTCCATCTCATTAAACCCAACGGAAAACCTTCAGTCCTCATCTGACTTGACCCTCTCAGCTGAACTCTCCCTCCCATCTTCCCTTGACTCTCATGACTTCAGAGGCTTGTGGTACTCCTGACACCTCTTTCAACTTTCTAATTTCCAGTCTCCTTTGCTAGCTCATTCTCATCTAGTTGGTTCTTAAGCATGAAAATTCCGTAATAATTGGTCCTATGCCACCTCTCTAGTTGACTTCAGCTATCATCTATATGACTTTACATTTCTCTCCTTTGAGCTCCACAACTGTGTCTTCTCAATATCCTATTTGAATGACTTACCAAAAAAATCTCAAATTCACCATATACACAACAAACCCTGGTCTTTTCCCTCTCCTGTTCAGTGTCCTACATCTCAGAAGCACTTCTTTGAAGCCAGTTGCTTAGACAAAAACCCCAGGATTCATCCTTGACTCTTGTCCCAAACACTCACCTCTCAAAATTAGAGTTTCTCATCTAACTGTTGTAAATGGCTTACAACCAGGCCAAAATATGGATTCTCCTCAGCACCTGGGTCACCCTTGTCCATTTACCACAGTGTAGTTTTTAAAAGCATTTGTGTGTGCCATGACATTAAAAAATGAGAAACTCTGTCTCAAGTCTCAATGTTCTTTCAACTATAATCATCAAAATCCAAGTTATCATTATCTCCTAGGTGACTTCAATAACTTAGCATACACTTTTCTACTCCATAAAGCAGCCAAAATATTTTTTTTGTCTTTTTTTTCTTTTTTTGAGATGGAGTCTCACTCTGTCACTCAAGCTATGCTGCAATGGCATGATCTCAGCTCACGGCAATCTCCGCCTTTCGAGTTCAAGCAATTTTCCTGCCTCAGCCTCTCAAGTAGCTGCAATTACAGGTGCCTGCCACTACACCCAGTTAATTTTTGTAATTTTAGTAGAGACAGGGTTTCACCATGTTAGTCAGGCTGGTCTTGAACTCCTGACCTCACGTGATCCACCTGCCTCGGCCTCCCAAAATGATGGGATTACAGGTGTGATAAAATATTTTTTAAATCTAATTATATCACTTCCCTGTTAAAAACCCATTAATGTCTTAATACTACTTTTGAGATAAAATACAACATCTTCCCTGTGGCCTACAAGACTCCAGGTGATGGGACCCCAGCCCGTGGCTTCAGCCTCACTGTTGTGTCAGTCCCCTAGCTGCCTAGACTCCCGCACAAAACACCTGACCATGGTCTTTCCCTCTTGGGCTTTCAGCCCAGACTGTCCCCTCTCCCCATAGTTATACGAAGGCTGTACCACCACATACAACCCTCACGCCTCAGCTATTGCCAGCTCACTCTGCTTACAAACCACCTCCTCAAGGAGGCCCTCCTAACTTCCCTCACTCTCACAGCAGTGTGCACTTCTTTACTGCATTATTACACTGCTAATTAGACAACTATACAACAAGTGATTTCTTAATCTCTTTCCACCTCTAGAATGTAAGTTTCATGCAGCAAGGAACTGAATCTGCCACGTTCGTTACTCTACACTTCCCTTGGATCTGCCTAGTAGAAACTCAATAAAATAATCACTTGTGAAGTGAGTGGATATATTCCTTCTCAAATCCTTGATATGAGTACTCAAACTTCTTCTGCTAACACTTTAGAAATAAGGGAGCAACTTAGGGCTTAGCTGTTTTGTTTCAAGTCACTTCAGTTTTCCCCATCTCCATGAATTTAATGATCCTAACTTCAATTCACTAGAGGAAAAGACCT